CCATATCTAAGACCAACCTATGTACTCATTGGTCAAATGGTGAAGTTAGAGACCCTCTAGGATCCAGTATAGCCATATCTAAGACCAACCTATGTACTCATTGGTCAAATGGTGAAGTTAGAGACCCTCTAAGGCTATACTGGATCCATATCTAAGACCAACTTATATATCAGAATCATTTGTGGAGGAGCATTAACTTTGTAAAGTAACACATGCAGTCTTTGCTGTTTCAGAATTTTTCTGGTTATCTTTTGAACCGTATTTATAACTATTCCAAATTCGTTCCTGTCATCTCGATTGATAGAAATGTGTGGTTAAAATTCTCGGTGTGGAACGGCTCTCTCTCATCACTTGGGCTTCTATGACTTTCCTTTACATCAGATACAGCCTTTGTATTTTCCAGCTGTAAGTTCCTTAGGATTGTAGTTCACTCAATATTCGTGCAACTTTCTGAAGTTGCATGTTGTCCATCACTTTTTGGACATCTTTCAATGAATGATGAATCCAAGGTTGCATTTTTATTCTTGCAAGACTAGGCATTTTTTACCTTAGACTAAGAAATAAAATGTATATTAAGGGAAGAATCGTTTTATAAATGAACATTTATATATGATAAAGTCAATAAAAAGTTTAATTATCTTTAAGTGTTTTAATTTTTGTTTGTATATTTAAAAAATTTCTTCTCTGTCAAACTATTATCATAAAGAATCCAAGAACTTGCCAACACCCACAGGAGTATTAACACAGTAACACCCACAGGAGTATTAACACAGTAACACCCACAGGAGTATTAACACAGTATCACCCACAGGAGTATTAACACAGTATCACCCACAGGAGTATTAATGCAGTAACACCCACAGGAGTATTAACACAGTATCACCCACAGGAGTATTAACACAGTGTCACCCACAGGAGTATTAACACAGTATCACCCACAGGAGTATTAACACAGTAACACCCACAGGAGTATTAACACAGTAACACCCACAGGAGTATTAACACAGTATCACCCACAGGAGTATTAACACAGTAACACCCACAGGAGTATTAACACAGTATCACCCACAGGAGTATTAACACAGTAACACCCACAGGAGTATTAACACAGTATCACCCACATGGGAGTATTAACACAGTATCACCCACAGGAGTATTAACACAGTAACACCCACAGGAGTATTAACACAGTTCCCTTTGATAATATATGTACAGGGTGAGCAAAAAGTCTGGGCACCCCTCTTATTTTAAGCTCATGTTAACAATTTAGTTTTTGTGTTTTAGTAATGATTGTGATTAAGGAAAGATATGAAGCAACTGATGCGTTGAAAAAAAAATATTGTTCAAAGTTTTGCTAAAGTTAACCCTAATATGCATCATACATGGAGACGTATCATCCTACGTCATGAAAGTGAAGGCCAATTGAACCTTTTGTTTGTATGTGCAATAAAGGACACTATCTTTATTTTATGGGGGTGGGGTACCTAGACATTTTGCCCACCTGCTATTTGTTTGTATGTAACCATTTTCATAATATTTATCAGTTTGTAAAAAATGTGTAACTCTTATTTTAAAAGTTTGGTGATAAATTTAATAAACTGTTCACCTCCTTTCAAGGAAAGGTTGTGTATGTACTTAACATATGTATATATAGACCAATAGTGATTGAACATAATATGATGTAAATGTTACTATAGAAACAAGAAACTTAATTGGTTCATTAAAACAGAAGAATTAATGTAAGTGAATAAGAGCGATGCTCCATTTCGAAAGTTGAAGAATGTTTTTTATCATACATCGGTTATTTATTTCAGGGTCTTCCTTCCATTTCCAAACAACTGTCAACTAGTACAATTTACTGTTTTGCTGAATGGCATTCTTTAATAATGTTGATTAATTATGAGGATTAGTGCTCATGAATGTTAATTCTTATATACTCTAACTTATTTTTCAAGTCAAGCATATAGGCTTGCATGTATACATACAATTTTCCTTATAATTTCTCCCATGATCCTGACATTTGTATTTCAGTGTTTTTAGCTATCAACGCTTACTGAACCATATTTTCTCGGGAGAGTAAATACATCTTTTTTTTATAATTGGTTTTCTGAAATGAGTTTTGCTTGGATCATCACTGTTTTTGTTGTTGTTTTACAACCATATCCATATTGATTTTATTAATTGGATTGTGGTATTTGCTCGGCTGATTCAACTCTTCAAAGAATTCATTTTCAGGGTTGCTTCACCTTATCTATTGTGTTAAAATCCAGTTACTTATAATCTTGAGGTCTAGTGTGTAGACTGCAATTATAATCTTGAGGTCTAGTGTGTAGACTACAGTTATAATCTTGAGGTCTAGTGTGTGGACTGCAATTATAATCTTGAGGTCTAGTGTGTAGATTATAATTGCAGTCTACACACTAGACCTGAAGATTATAATTGTAGTCTACACACTAGACCTGAAGATTATAATTGCAGTCTTGAGGTCTAGTGTGTAGACTGCAATTATAATCTTGAGGTCTAGTGTGTGGACTGCAATTATAATCTTGAGGTCTAGTGTGCAGACTGCAATTATAATCTTGAAGTGTGTAGACTACAATTATAATCTTCAGGTCCAGTGTGTAGACTACAGTTATAATCTTGAGGTCTAGTGTGTAGACTACAATTATAATCTTGAAGTGTGTAGATTACAGTTATAATATTCATGTCTAGTGTGTAGACTGCAATTATAATCTTCAGGTCTAGTGTGTAGACTGCAATTATAATCTTGAAGTGTGTAGACTACAATTATAATCTTCAGGTCTAGTGTGTAGACTGCAATTATAATCTTCAGGTCTAGTGTGTAGACTACAGTTATAATCTTGAGGTCTAGTGTGTAGACTGCAATTATAATCTTCAGGTCTAGTGTATAGACTACAGTTATAATCTTGAAGTCTAGTGTGTAGATTACAATTATAATCTTCAGGTCTAGTGTGTAGACTGCAATTATAATCTTGAGGTCTAGTGTTTAGACTACAATTATAATCTTGAAGTGTGTAGACTACAATTATAATCTTCAGGTCTAGTGTGTAGACTGCAATTATAATCTTGAGGTCTAGTGTGCAGACTGCAATTATAATCTTGAAGTGTGTAGACTACAATTATAATCTTCAGGTCTAGTGTGTAGACTACAGTTATAATCTTGAGGTCTAGTGTGTAGACTGCAATTATAATCTTCAGGTCTAGTGTATAGACTACAGTTATAATCTTGAAGTCTAGTGTGTAGATTACAATTATAATCTTGAGGTCTAGTGTATAGATTACGATTATAATCTTGAGGTCTAGTGTGTAGACTGCAATTATAATCTTGAGGTCTAGTGTGTAGACTGCAATTATAATTTTCAGGTCTAGTGTGTAGACTACAATTATAATCTTCAGGTCTAGTGTGTAGACTACAATTATAATCTTGAGGTCTAGTGTGTAGACTACAGTTATAATCTTCAGGTCTAGTATGTAGACTACAATTATAATCTTGAGGTCTAGTGTGTAGATCACAGTTATAATCTTGAGGTCTAGTGTGTAGATTACAGTTATAATCTTGAGGTCTAGTGTGTAGATTACAGTTATAATCTTGAGGTCTAGTGTGTAGACTACAATTATAATCTTCAGGTCTAGTGTGTAGACTGCAATTATAATCTTCAGGTCTAGTGTGTAGATTACGATTATAATCTTGAGGTCTAGTGTGTAGACTGCAATTATAATCTTCAGGTCTAGTGTGTAGATTACGATTATAATCTTCAGGTCTAGTGTGTAGACTGCAATTATAATCTTCAGGTCTAGTGTGTAGACTACAATTATAATCTTCAGGTCTAGTGTGTAGACTGCAATTATAATCTTCAGGTCTAGTGTGTAGACTACAATTATAATCTTCAGGTCTAGTGTGTAGACTACAGTTATAATCTTCAGGTCTAGTGTGTAGACTGCAATTATAATCTTGAAGTCTAGTGTGTAGACTACAATTATAATCTTGAGGTCTAGTGTGTAGACTGTAATTATAATCTTGAGGTCTAGTGTGTAGACTGCAATTATAATCTTCAGGTTTAGTGTGTAGATTACGATTATAATCTTCAGGTCTAGTGTGTAGACTGCAATTATAATTTTGAGGTCTAGTGTGTAGACTGCAATTATAATCTTGAGGTCTAGTGTGTAGACTGCAATTATAACCTTCAGGTCTAGTGTGTAGACTGCAATTATAATCTTCAGGTCTAGTGTGTAGACTACAATTATAATCTTCAGGTCTAGTGTGTAGACTGCAATTATAATCTTCAGGTCTAGTGTGTAG